ACCCTCTCAATGCTGTCCACATCCCTTCTGAAGTGCAGCACCCAGAACTGGACGCAGTACTCCAACTGAGGCCTGACCAGTGTCGCACAGAGGGGGAGGATCACCTCCCTGGACCTGCTCGTGATGCATCTGTGGATGCATGACAAGGTTTGGTTAGCCTTACTGACCATGTCCTTATATTGGCAGCCCATGTTCAGCTTGGACTCATTAATGACTCCAAGATCCTTTTCTGCCTCTGTGCTGACAAGGGAGTTCCCCAGCCTATAGGTATGCTGCTGGTTCTTTCTCCCTAGGTGCAGTACCTTGCACTTGTAAGTATTGAATCCCCTCCTATTTTCATCCACCCACCCCTGGAACCTGTCCAGATTTAGTTGTAGCCTGTCCCTCCCTTCCATCGTGCCCACCTCTCCCCACATCTTAGTGTCATCCATGAATTTGAACAAGGTGCTTTTCGTCCAAGTCGTTGATGAAGATGTTAAAGAGTGTGGGCCTGAGGACCGAGCCCTGGGGGACCCCACTGCCCACGTCCCTCCAGGTGAAAAACGATCCATCCACTACCAGTCTTTGGGTGCAGACCTCCAGCCAATTTGCGACCCATCTGACTGTGTAGGCATTGACGCTTGCACTTTAAATTTTACAAATGATAACTGACCTTGCTCTTAGGTCCTAAATTTTTCTGGATTAACACTTTTTCCTCGTCATCCACTAGAATACCATGGTAGTCGTGGTAAGCCACTTCTCCTAGGGAGAGTGCTTCAGGTGAGATAGGCAACAGGCCACACTTCATTGCAGAAACCTGTGATGATGATAGATTTTAAAGAAGGGAATAATAAATCAACACAACAAAAAATGCATTAGTATATCACAAAGGCTGATTTTTTTTTTGCTAACAAACAAAACTGCATATAACATACTAAGATTAAATATAATTAATTTAAAAGAGAATGGAAGTAAATACAAATTGCAAAGGACTTAAAACACAAAGCTCTTCTTAATTCATACTCTCTCCCTATTCTGTGTGCATGTTTTAAAATGCAAGATTATGAGTGACAAGGTTGGACTCAGAAAATTACACAACACTGCAGTTAAAAACAACAAATATTACTCAAATTTAAAATTTGGGCCATGGTTAGAAATTTGTTCAAAGCTTTGGTCTTTTACACACCTGAAAATGTTTGTATTGATATTCTGAGTTGATTTTGAAACAAAAATATCAGAATGAGAACTGCAGTTAAGCAATTACAACTAGCTAGGAAACTCAATCAGTAGGGTTCCTGGTTTTCTTTGATAAAAAAAATCCCCAATTTTAGATTTAAAAAATTAAGCCAAAATCCACCTTTTTTATTTTGATCACAGAAAAATGTGGATTTTCGTTAATTTTTTTTTTTTTAACTGATAAATGGGAATTTTTTTTTTTTTTTTAAGTCAGAGACAATCAGGATCCATGGTCATCAGTATGACACCTGTAAAAGATTCTAGGGAAATGAATTTGATTGTGATTTATAAATCAGTTGTTCATAGAAAACAAAATGTAAGCAGGAACTTATGGATTTGTATGTGCGTCCAGTATTTGAGACTAATTCTGCTACCTGTCCTCTGAAATCAGTGTCAGATTTGTCACCAGAACCACAGGTAGGTACAAGAGAATAAATATTTAATTATGCAACACATTCATTCAGGAAATACAGGAAATATCAAGTCGCCTTCATGGACAAGTGGTGCATTCTAGGAGTTTGTAAGAGGCATTGACTGAAAATGCTATAATCCTTATTAGAACCATATACATTTGAAATTTTTACAGCAAATGTAGATTAAAACATCAATCATAAATATAATTTTCATAAACACCACAGATGTTTTCATTTGCTGCTGTAGGGCCCAATTCTACAAACACTCATGAGTAAGACATACTCACACATGTAGGTCAGTGATTACTAAAGTTCACGTGGGGCTATTACTCACATGAGTATGGGTTCAAAGCGTCCAAGTTTTAAATAAGATAAATAAATATATTTGACTCTATGGGACCAACCATATTTCTATTAAAAGCTACATTAAAAGGAAATGCTTACCGCTGCCCCTGCTGGTGTGTGAATATGAACAATGCATTTAACATCAGGTCGAGCTGCATAAATTGCAGAGTGCAAAGTAAATCCAGCTTGGTTTACACCCAAATTAGTGCTTCCACGATCAACAACATCACCTTGAATATTAATCTTAACCTGACAATGACAGATTGAAATAGAAAATTTTAAAAATTATTATTCATCAAACCTGCAAAATATTTTAATTCATTTTCCTTATTAAGGAATTTAAAAGTCCTGTATTTACTCAAATCTAAGGTAACCCTGAATGTAAAATGACCCCCTAATAATTAGATTCTATACATGGAAAATTTCTAAATTTGTTATAAATTTTCCACATGTAGAATCTAATTATTGGAGGATTATCTTTAATTCATCCCCCCCACAGCTGAGGGGGGCAGAGAGTGGAGAGGTGAAGGTCTTGCTCCCTGCTACCTACCTGTCCCCCTGCACCACAGTTTCAGCCTCCCCTCCCCACTCTGCTCCCCCTCCCCCCAGCCTCTCTGCTCCCCCCCC